TATGTATGTATGTATGTATGTATGTATGTATGTATGTATGTATGTATGTATGTATTCCCTCCCACTGCCTGGCCCTACTATTATATTATTCTTTGTAAAGAAAAGACCACAGTTCGCGCTGGGTCACCACGGTCGGCGTCCATTTGTTTTAAGTTCCTTGGCCAGATCGAAGAAATCAAGAAGGGCCAAAGTCGAATTGAATTGCTTGTCTGCTTCACATGCGGTACACCTAGTGATTGTGCACGCGCATTGGAGTTTGAGTCCGAAAAGTGTTTGTTTTTGTTCTGTTTTTGTAAAGTGTTTTACGGCGCTCGCAACTGCATAAGGTCATATGAGCGCGCGTAGTCCGAATAATCGCGGGAGGCTCTTCGGACTCGAGTCTGAATAGCTGCGGCCTAAGATTAAAGTGCAATTATTACCTTTGTCTTTAGCTATTGCAGATTTTCCTTTTTATTGATATCTGGGACATTAATTTGGCATAGAGTGTAAAACTTTGTAACATGTAGATCTATAGCTAGCCAAGATAATTAAAAACTTTTAAGTATTTTTTTTCATCTCTGTTTCTGGGAACAAAAAAAAAGGATTTAGGCCTACTTCCTTTTTGGAAATCACCATTATCATACCTTCGGCTTTACACTGGACTGGTACTGAAATGTTAGTATAATAATAAACAAAAAGAAAGAGAGCGAAAATAAAAGGGAACGAACTTTGTGTGAAGTTTTAGAGTCAACTGCTGAGCTGTCAGCCAAATTTAGTCCAATAGTTGGTGGCTGTGACGTCATTGTAAATAAATAATATTGAATGTATCAGGTCTGCTGTCCTGTGTTTGTGTTACGAAATTTTGTCCCACATTGTGTTCATGAATACAGTGGAACTCGGAATCAACGAGGTCGCCGGGCCTGACGTAGCCTAGCCTATAATCTTGTTGAATCCGAATGTTCGTTACAGCAAATATGAGGTTTTGTGTAGATAAATACAGGCACTGAGCAAGTGATGTCCTGTCGAACCACATGCGATTAAAAGTAGAAATGATGCAAACTATTTTTAGGTAAGGCGCCCATCTTGTTTGACGTCAGACCAGGATACCCCTCCGATCACGTGACTACATCTAAGTATAGACAACCGCACGGCACCAAAGATGGAAGTGTCTATGTATATATTATGCTTAATCTACACCATTTTTCGGAAGTTCTGATAGCTGATTTGATAGCGCGTCTGCGTTTGATGTCGAGCAATGACTTTTGGAGCGGTTCGATTCCGGTCCCGGACAGTTTTTCTTTTCTCTTTTCCTCCTCCCGACTGACCAACAGTTCCATAAATTATAGGCCTAATTTGTAGAGTTGCTTTGACTTTGAAGTTGTTGTTTATTTTTTTTAATGTATTAGTGATTAAAAATGCAGGAGGGGGGGGGGGTTGGTAGATCTAAATTTAGATATCTAGATCTAGATCTAGAACTAGATATTATCTAGTCCTCCTGCGTCTTTACGGCAATTTTCGTGCCGTCTTCCATCATGTCCAGGTAGGCCTAATAGATCTAGATCTAGATCTAATCTAGAATCTAGATCTAGATTCTAGATCTAGATCTAGATAGATCTAGGCTAGAAAATCCTAAATGTTACCGAAAACACGTCGTTCCATGTGGGTATCCCAGGAAGTGATGACATTACATTACTAAAATTAGCAGCCAATCAGAAAGATGCGTCATTTCTAAGTTTAACGGCATGTTGTCGAACCTGTCCTGTGTAAGGCGGAATCGCAAGGGAGCAAGAAAATGATTTCGTCTTAGACATTTTCGGTCTCTAGAATGTCTAGAAATCTAGACAGGGGAATTTAGGGGGAGATGGAGGTTGAGGTGGGGGGGGGGTTCAAAGGCCCAGCCGATGGGATGAAGGATCGCTTGCCCGATCGTCAAGCAGTGGTCAAAACTTCACACCTCTCAATTGCTATCCTGTCTGATAATGACATGCATCAGTCTTACTTACCCAATTACCACCGGTGCTTGCCTTTCATGGGACCACTGTTCGACCAATTAAAAACAGAAACATTTTAACATCTCCTTTGCTTCCACCCATAGCCCCACCCACCAATGCCACCCCTCGCTGCCTTCATTGTAACAACGATTCGAGGAACTCTTTTCTCGGCTGGCCGTACGAGCAGGGCCGCAGGCATTGGTCAATCTAATTCACACCTTTGGCTTCTGGCTACCCAGGAAAGTTTCCGTGGTGGCTGGCTACTCGAGCACTCTCACGGGTAGTCGTGAGATTTCACACCCACACTACACTGGCCATCTGCATCACTCAGGGCTCACATGATGGGGTAACATCAAAATCAAAGGAGTTTACAGTAGTTTTAAGCTCCTTGGGTAACATCTATACCCCCAAATTGCACCCCTACTCCCCTTCCTTGCCCAGCAGTATGACGATAGCGTTAAGTTTAGAGCCGGCGGAACCAAATCTGCGAGTTTTGTTTCAAATCAGTGCTGAGCGGGCAAAGAATTTTCCGTCTTAGACAGGTGAAACCCTCGCAAGGGAGCGGATTTTTCTTTCCGTTTCCGCGTTGGACTGGTTTCCGTTTTATACAGATAATTAATAAAGACGAATATATCAAGGGGGGAGCGGGGAGATTCCGTTAAGACGAGTTTCCGTTTTATACAGGTTTCCGTTAAGGCAGGTTCGACTGTATAAAGAGAAGTCAAGAAGACGTGCCTGAAATGCCTGCATATTATGAATATGAGCTGTGCAAAAAAAAAAGACCAATTCGTTCAAATGCACGCCTGTGTCATTTCGATTGCTTGCCAAAAAGCTGTGTTGCTGTGTAGAGCCTAGCATATACGGCAACTTTCAAATTAAATACCATAGACCAGCACACAATTCATAACGTAGATCTACGTCAAGACTAGCTTATCATTGAAATATTGATCAGTTGCCGGGGGGGGGGGGGGGAGAAGACTGACGCGTTTGTATGTGCGACGTTCCACGCCCGGACCGCTGGTGACCCCCCCCCCCCCCTCCCCGACACGCACTCACCATCACACATGTGCAGGCCGCCTATCTGACCCTGACACATGCTAGAGTAGACACGTGCCCGTGCCAACAACGCATGTGTTGGTATGAAAGAAGGCCGCTGATTGGTCGCATTCAATTGGCTAAGTCAGTACAGTGGAGTCCACTTATATAACGAGTCCCGAAACAACGAGAAGTCTGTTATAAAGACATCATTCTAAAACCCCTTTTTTTTCCGTCTTTATCTTTGTAAACAAAATACTGCTATAGCGCAATCACATAAACGCGCGAGTCGGTTATAGCGGAATATAATATTGCTGCTGCTGTGCACAGGCCATTGAAACATGAAAACTTCACCAATTGAGAAACTTGTTGGTTATCAAGCGAAACAAAGAATGGGAGAGCCCATGTGTGCCAACGATGAAGGCCGAAGCGAATGAGTGGGGAGTGTGTGGCACGCGCAGACACACCATTGTGAAGGAGAAAGCATTGCCTGATAGTGATAGGCGAGCCTAGTCTAGATTATCTAGGCCTAGATAGCTATCAATACTATCATGCCTCTCACTTCTCCGATGCGGGGATGGAGAGGTCACCATGCTGTGATTGATCATGGAGCGAATGTGTGACGTGTGCAGGCAGACGCGGGAACGCACCACAGGGTGGTGTGGGGTGGGGTGGGGGGAAAATACAGCGGGCGGGTTAGCCTAGAGAACTTTCGTTCTGAAAGCCAACGCCGAGCTGTCAACATCGCGAATGCTAGAGAAAGAAACCTGATTCAATTTTTGATCAAGTAAGACCTAGAGGTCATGTTGAACAAAGCCATCATCGGAGGAGATAACAAAAAGAAATATACAGAACACCAAACTCATAGATTAGGCCTACTTTATATTTCTTTTGAATTTATTACTGGATCCCTTACAACGAGAATCCTGCTATAACGGACATTTCGTACCGGTCCCCTCCCTCTCGTTATAACAGGATTCCACTGTAATGGTGCACGATGCAGGTGCAATGGATGGTTTCCGGGAAGAGATAAAGTTCGTTGTGGTGGGAGAAAAATTAGCAAAGCCGCGTTTGCAGGGGGTGTTCACCCATGACACGACCTCCTTGAATCCGAGCTTGCTGATTTAAGTGCTCGGTGAATCCGGGTTATTGTTATTGATTTTAAAGAACAAGGAAAAAATCGGGGAATCCATCTCATCTCGTTGAATCCGAGTTCTCGTTGAATCCGAGTTCCATTGTATAATTATATATAGGCTACAAAAAAGTTTTTTTTCTAAACGTAGGACTGTACCAATTGTAGCTATGGCATGCTGTCCCCGTGGTTTTATGCTTCCTGCATAATTCAGCAAAAGTTGATCATTTTTTACCTAATTTGATTTTACGAGTTCTCCGAGCTTGGAACATTGCATTGAAAATAAAAGTGTTTTTGTAGCCACAGATGAAGTGACACTTACTGATCATGTGATGAATACACAAGAGGAAAAAAATATCTCACCAAAGCCGTCTAGGAAAAGATATTTTATGACATTATATTGGGAATTTGGATTTTATATAAAAGAGTTATAATATAAACTGCTTTACTACATTGCCCTATATTTTTAACTACTCTTCTTTGTGACTGTTATTGTTGAAACTGAAACTGCTTCCTTTAATGTTTGACAGTAAGCAGTCTTCTTGGAAATTTGAATTTGAAATTATAACACTATTTGTATACGGTGGAGTCCACTTATAAAGAGTCCTGAAATAACGAGAAGTCTGTTATAAAGACACTATTCTAAAACCCCGGTTTTTTCCCTTCTTTATCTTTGTAAATAAAATACTGCTAGAGCGCAATCAAAAACACGCAAGTTGGTCATAGCGGAATATTGCTGCTGCTGTGCACAGCGCAAAAGCCAATTATACATTTGTAAAACCCCGTGAGTTGAGAAACTTGTTGGTGATCTAGCGAAACAAAGAATGGGAGAGCCCATGTGTGCCTTCAATGAAGGCCAGAGCGAATAAGTGTCGAGGGTGTGGCATGCGCAGACAAGCAGAATGCATCGCGTGATAGGCCAGCCTAGTCTAGATTAGGCCTATCTAGGCCTACCATGTCTCACATTTCTCCGATGCAGGGATGGAGAGGTCACATTGCTGTGATGGATGTACTGAATGTGTGACGTGGGCAGGGTGTGGTGTGTAGGTCTACGCAGTGCACAAGCAGACAGAACACACCACAGGGTGTGGTAGGGTGGAGGACAACACAGTGGGTGAGTTAGCGTAGAACCCTTTCTTTCTGATCGACAATGCTGAACTGTCAACATCACTAGCGCAAGAGAAAGAAACCTGATTCGATTTTTTATCAAAAAAGACCTAGAGGTCATGTTAAACAAAATCATCATCAGGGGGATAACAAAAAGAAATGCAGTATAATCCACTTAAAAGTTAAATCATCATCCGATTTATCGACGTTTTGACGACATATTTTCTAATTTACAAAATTTTTCCTTCAGTATCTTCACTTAACAATTTTTTTTTATATTACTATTACATTCGACTTTTTTTTTTCGGCTCACATTGCTTTATGGACATGCTTCCTGGGTGCCTGGCGAAGTCCATGAACATAAATGGGGGAAAAAGGCATGCTAATGGTCAACGCATTAGTTCTCCATTAAGTCCGCATACCCGCCAAGTAGCCTTTATCAACACAACAGGCGTTAGTAGGTCATGTAGAGCCTACACAGTGTAGTCTCCAACACAGTACAGTGCCTCACAGACATGAGCATCTTGCGCACTGGGCATCACCTCCCTACCCTCACTCCCGATTGCTCACTCCCCTTCCCCATCCCATTCTCAGTCTGTCTCTGGCAAGTGCCACGGTCAGTGAGTCAGTGCCTCGCCTTTCCATTTTCCCAAGCAAGCGGCCATGAACAGGCCTTTCAAGGATGCTACAACAAAGTTTGTGCTGGTGTGTAGTGTGCGCCTCATGCCTCGCGTTGCTCAGTCTTTGGTACCGTAACTCCAATCCCCCCTCCCCTCTGCCTCTTGTTAGTTTCACTGTGTAGTTGTGTTAGCCTACATCATCTAAGTGGAGCAAGAGATCTATTCTTAGCTTCACGTCTTCCCTCATGTTTATTCAAGGGAAGCAACCAGCTTAAGAAAGTAGTGTTGTCTTTTTACCGCTGACATCCCCTTGTTTTTTCCTCTTTAGCTTTATATTTTCATTTATCGACATGTTTTTATATATCGACATCAAATCCGCTTCCCGAAGCATGTTCGATATAATCAGATTTTACTGACATAAAAAGAACTTCAAACTCATAGGTTAGGCCTACTTTATTATTTCTCTTCAATTTATAACTGGATAATTTATAATGAGAATCCGGCTATAACATTTTCGACTTTTGTTTTGAAATTGTTTTATCTTAACAGTCTACGTTGGTCTGTGAATTGGGTACCATTTAGTGAAGAACTTCCTTGATTATATGTTTTATAAGATGTTGTTTCACACAAAAAGCACTAACTTGAGGCAACTGACCAGACTGTATTTTGTCTTGAGTCTTCTAGGGGATCTGGACCATTTGTCAAATGAGTATACTCATCATAGCCCAGAAAAAAAGAAAAAATATACGCATATATATATATATATATATATATATATATATATATATATATATATATATATATAAAAGTGAAACTAGAATTTTTGTTTCTGCTTTAAAGAAAATAAAATTATATCTTATACTCATAGAGATGTGTTCAGGGAAAGAAAGTGGGCTTTTCTGAAGCCTGTACAGCAGGTTGATTAGTGAAACATTGCAAACGAAACGGATAACTTTAAAACACAGTTCATTTGATAAAGTACCCTTTTTAGGAAGCATTGTTTTGTGAATTATATGTATGTTAGTTCATTTTATTGTTAAATACTACATGTGCTAATTTTCTTTCATTTCCTTTTTCTCAGCAGATGCATACCCTGATAGCAATGCTCACTGGTAGAGAGGTCACGCCAAGTATGTGGGATTGATGCCCCATGTTTAGCATACAAAAGCTGGTCTCCTTGTCTTAAGTCTGGCATATCTTCCACTTTTCTCAGTGAGGGAAGTAAGACTAGAGTAAATATGATGGTCGGTTTTGTATCGAATTCTGACTCAAGCTCTCACTTGTACCCAGCTGCTTACGCTGATCCTGGGTTTGCACAGTTCAACTCTCAGCACACATGTTCCTTTTCATCCAGTTATAACCAGATGAAAGTGGACTTGTCGTTGCCTCAGGAAAAACAACTTGTGCCTAGGTTTCAATTAAGTGGAGACGATCAGAAACTTTTGAACGATAAACCTCACAAGTGTGAGTTCTGTGGTCAGGGCTACAAACACAGACAAGATTTGAGGAGGCATATTCGCAACAACTGCAACAAGTGTGATTTGTGCGGTGCAAAATTTAAATCAATATGCAGTTTAAGGAAACACATCTTGGCCCATACAGGAGAAAAACCTTACAAGTGTGGTGTGTGTGGTGCGGGATTTGGCCATAAGAGTCATTTAAACAGACACACTTTGATACACACAAGAGAGAAGTCTTACAAATGTAATGTGTGTGCCACAGAGTTTACTACATTTAGTGATTTTAAAAGACACAATCTGTTACACACGGGAGAGAAACCGTATACATGTGATGTGTGTAATGCAAAGTTTCGACAATTTAGTGGTTTAAAACAACATGCCTTGATACACACTGGAGAAAAACCTTTCAAGTGTGATGTCTGTGAGTCAAGATTTCGTCTTAAAAATCACCTGAAACAGCACACGTTAATTCACACAGGAGAAAAGAACTATGAGTGTCATGTATGTGATTCAAAGTTTAGTACGTATAGTGATCTGAAACGGCACACTGTGTTACACACAGGAGAGAAACCATACAGATGTGATGTATGTTATGCCAGATTCAGACAAGCCAGTACTTTGAAACAACACACCTTGATACACACTGGAGAAAAACCTTACAAATGTAATGTCTGTGAAGCAAAATTTAAGCAAAGAATTCATTTAAAGCAGCACTCTTTGATACATACTGGTGAAAGACCTTTTAAGTGTGACATGTGTGATGCAAGTTTTGTTCGTAAAAGTCATTTAAAGCAACATGCTTTGATACACACAGAATCTGCTGGAGTGTGACATTGCCAGCATTATTACACTACATACATGTATTGCTTTTGTATTTGATCAACTGTCACCGCAGTGTCACAGATAGCAGCATCCTCATGTGGTGCCATGTTTGGAAATCTTGACATGCTGGTCTTCCTGCCTTGTGCATGTCATGTGATAATTTAATTTTAATCCCCTGCAATCACTCCGAAAAGTAATATTTTTCTTTTTAGTCTGAACTTGCTGGTTCCCAGTGCTACTTATTGATTGGCAGAAACCCTTAATTTTTAAACAGAATCTGAGGTGTAATAGTTAAACTCTTCACTCTACCGGTAGCGAAGAAAAGAAACAAGTTTGATTCCTGAGTAGAAAAGTGTTGTTATCAAGTAGCCTACCACTTGGCTGGGTTCTGTCAGACATGGATGTTCAAATTGTAATGGTGAAAGAGTTGTTTACACATACTATTGCCAGATGTCATAATATAATTACAGTATAACACGGACAGCTCGAATTCGTCAGGACCGGCCTCTGTAGTTCGAGGGACCAGTAGTTTGAGGGATGTCTTATAAAAATAAAGAGAAAAAAAAAACAGGACTGCAGGCACAGTTCAACAGTTGTGTGATTTCGAATCTTCAGCGACCTCTCTGTGTTATACTTTTATACTTATACTGTACATGTACATGTATGTGTTTTTGTGATTGACGATTATATTGTAATTTTTAGTAAATTATTTTCTAGTGTTTTTTATTTTGTCTGCCCAAAGGCTATTTTTGCATTTAATTTGATTGATCTGGCTCACTATTCTTTTAATAATGATAATATTTTAGGTATGGTGATGGAATCAGGCCCTCGTCAAAATAATGAAATTGAAGAAACCAACATATTTTTTTTACTGTTTGGTAATTTCTATCATTTTTGGTTTGTTTGGACCTAACACCCTATATAATATATATATTTGTCCAGTTAAAAACACTTTCCTGCATGAATTTGACTGAAAAACGTTGATCAATGGCACAAAATTTGCCAATTGGCAGTTTCCAAGGACACTACAGCTTTTCTTGTTAACCTGACACAGGGGCAACCCCCACCTCCTTCAACTGCAAAAATATCTTAACTTCTTTTCAAAATGCATGGATTTTTTTTTTTTAAGGCAAATATAAGGCTTTAAGATTCAATAACTTCTTATAATATGCCTATCCAAAAACTGATAAGCACCTGATTCCACCGTATTGCAACGCGTATGATTTATTTGCCTTCTTTTCTTGCGTCTCTTTGTTCACCTTTCATAGCAGAGATTGCCAGTACCAGTATCCGAGGGGTAATGGTTAGGCTATCTTACTATTGCACTCAGTAGACATACCGATTCCGTTACCAAGGGGGTGGTTTTTGTTACAGAATATCTTCTCTTGTCTGCTTGGATGTTGTATCCCACTCTGTCCACAGTGGCCCTGACAGGCAGTGTTAAAGCAGCCCCCTTAATCTAACTAAATGATGCTGTATTGTTGCATTAATCAGGGCATAATGTACACGCATAAATTGAAATATACGTACAACCGTTAGTCCAACCGTGAAAAACACAGAAACATCCCAGTGAAAAATAAAATTAAGAGTTTTGAAAGGCTATGTGTGATGAATGATTCTACTAAAATATGTGAGGCAGTGTGGTAAAATCAGACGCTCATCAAAATATAAATATTATAATGAAACCAGAGAAACCGGCATTTTTTGGCCAATGGGCTATTCTTTTCTAAATTTTCTTTTTTTTTAGGCTCAACACCTTTTATGTCCATTTAAAAACACATTTTTTGTTGTGGAATTTACTGAAAAACATGGATTAAAGGGAAAAAAATGTAAATGTTCAGTTTCCAAGGACTCTCAGGCAATAAAAATTACCAAACTTTGGTGGCCATTTTCTCACTAATTTTACCTCTGAAACCAGGTGACCTTGACCTCCTTCAATCACGAAATTTATATTTCGACTTCTATTCAACATAGATGAATATTTTTTTCATGAAAAGAAAGGCAAATAAACAGGCTTTAACCCTATTCGTACGCCCCGGGGTCATTTTGTATCCCCGGGGTTGTATTCTTCACATTTTAGAATACATCTAGATTCTAGTACGAAGATCTCTGAAACTTTTAGTATTTCTCAAAAAATCATTTTGACTGACTATGTAAAGCGTACGGATCGGATTAACGAGTAAATTTCCTCTTTGGAAAGTGGTCGCACAGAGTTCCCCACGTCGTATGGATATGATAGTAAAACGCAACGTACGGATAGGGTTAAGATGATACCAATAACCCCATATGTCCAAAAATTGACGAGCGCCTGATTCCTCCACATCGCTACACATGTTGTTGTTATCGATCCAGATTCTACATGCATACATGCTGGACATTTAGCAACGATGAAAGATTTTAAAAATGAAATAGAAGCAAATAAAATGTTGTTTGAGACTATTGAGAATTTCATGAAAGGAAAAGAAATCAAATGAGGTAGTGTAAAAAGAAACCCAAGTGAGCTGCTCACTTATTACAAACTGATTGGAAGAGACAAAAATGCAGTTTCTTGTGTACTTGAACAGAAATAAAGGCAATTTTAAAGGCCTTGAACATCTTGCTCTGGCTTGAAAATTAGAAGGTAAAATAGGCAGGGGTAGACTGAGAACGACTTAATTCGGTAGACCACTTGAAGAGGTGGAGGCAGGGAAAGATCAGGTCATATACATCCATAAAATGTAGGTCTTTTGAGAGCATCTAAGTACATATGTACTCATAATATAATAATTGTGGTAGACTGCTGTCTGTTGACTGTTTGTTTTTATTAATCTCTTAAATTATTTGCAAATTTTGAGAGCAAATCACTAAAGACAGTGAAAATAAAATAGAAGCAACAGAAATGTGGTTTCTTAGGAGACTGCTAAGAGTATCGTGGAAAGAAAAGAAATCAAATGAGGTAGTGCTTGATGAAGCCCACGTGGGACGCTCAATGTTAAAAACAATCAGGAAACGACAAATGCAGTTTTTGGGACTCCTGAATAGACATTAAGGGTCTTGAAACATCTAGCTCTCACTGGCAAAATTGAGGGCAAGCGAAGCAGGGGTAGGCCCAGAACAACATACTTAGGGAACCTGAACAAATGGGTAACAGTAACAGGGAAAGATCAGGGAAACGTAGCTTTTTTGAGAGCAAATGTCTGTCGCAGATCTGGCACTGGATGATGATGAGAGCATATTTCCATGACACAGTAATACCAGATTCTTATTATGTGGACCGGGGTCTTATGTGGCATGTTCTTAGTCAGAATTTGTAGAGGTATACCATTTATTATAAAAGTAAGTCTTCCCATGTGCAATATGTAATAAAGCTGTTCAAACCTCGGAATACATCTTCTCTGTGTTATGCTGGTGGTTGGGGGTGTTACTTGTCCCTAGACTAGTTTTTAGGAATATTCTTCTCTTTAATTTGAAGTCAATCTAAACTTTTATTTTCTTTTATAACAAAAAAAACATTCCTCATCTTATCAGTACAGGGACTCTGTGTATGGATGTTCTCTGTTTTAAGTGTTGCTGCGTTAGTGCTTAGCTGGTGGTCTAATGTGTGGTTTGCTCTTTCTTTCCTCTATCAAAATGTGAAACATCCTTAGTCTTTCGCTCCTTCTTTTCTTTGTATGTTATTGTTACCCTCTTGTAGTAGGGCCTACTTAGTAAAACCCCTAATCTTCGGCTTTATTAATATGACCTTAGGTTTGTGTTGCAAGGGCTGTTAAACTCTAACACTACTAACAGAAACAAGAACCAAGTGTTACTTGTCTACTTTGATCCCTGTCTACCTTGTATTTTGAGTTGAACTCGTTAAACACGAGCAGCCTCTCCCTGGTTTTGGAAGGCACCACTGACAGGTCCTACTTTTGTTTTTTTGTTAGGTAAAGTAAAGTTTACTTTTGGTTTCTTGGAGGGCGCTAGTGGTTAGTCTTACTTCGGGTTCGTTGAAGTTCAACTGGTAGGTCTTTCTTATTCATTTTTTTTCTTTTTTGGGGGGTGGGGTACTAGTTAGTACTTGCAGTACATTAGGGGGTCTCATTACTGCCACTTGGCCTAGGGAACCGGTAGTGGGATGGTACATGTCGGCAGTGTGACCATGCGTCTTTTAGCGACACTGGGAAGGTGCAGACTCAAAAAAGCGTTTTAGAACTGAAGTGGGCGAGGAGGTGACACGTGTGCACCCTCTTGTTTAGTCTAGAGTCTATGCTTATAGGCCCTTCTTGTTTTATATATATAGCGTCTTCGTCGCCATGGTCGGCTTGAGCATCATGCTGAAGAAGATGGTGAAGAGAGTTGGTGCCCGGACACCCCCCCCCCCCCCCCCCCCCCCAAAAACAAAAACAAAAAAACAAACAAACAAAACAGTCAAGTGCCGGATCTGCGACAGGCTTCGGCGACCTTAGAGATGCTCTCAAAATTCAAAAACGCTACATTATCCTGATCTTTTCCCGACGCCCATCTGTTTAGGCTCTTTAAGTCCAAGTTGGTTGCTCTGGGTCTACTCCTCTGCCTTTGGAATAGGGGCTACTGGCTACCATCCTCGACCCAGCGGGTCCCAGGTGGCGGACGGGGAACGTTAATGGGTTAGACCTAGCTGTGAATATACATGTAATACGTTAAATAAACAGCCCCGGACCAACTGGCGGTGCTCTTACCAGGACGGGGTGAGGTGGTAGGCGGCACCACCACGTCAGGAAATGCCCTAAGAGTCCGCTGACGGGAGCACCACGTGGGGAATGACTACAATTCCTCCCAGTGCTCCCGGGGTAGGTCAAAGTTCAAGTCCAGTTCCAGAACTAGAGTGCTGAAATTGGAGGAGGAAGAGAAGAAGAAGAAGAAGAATTGAGGGAGGAGGGGGAGGAGGAGAAAAAGAAGAAGAAGTGAGTCACCATAAGGCAGAGGCATTTCAGTTGTAGACAAAACAATTTCAGCTAACATTCATTGTGACAAAAAGGGATTTTTCTTGGGGCATGCTTTCTTCGTCTCCGTCATTATGATTGTCATCTTGCGTTACAGCCCCCGGTGTTCGAGCAACTGGGACCTCTGTATCATTTACAGGCAGGAGAGCAATCTAGTTCATTTTCCAGCTTGGAACCGCAGTCTAATTTACATGAATACCTCACAGTTTGGAGAAGCACGTGTGGCATTGGTCCAATGAATTGGAAAGAGTTTACCAGAGTCAAGTTTTCAGTCCCAGCACTGTGACTGAAAAGTGGTCTGAAAGACCGCTGTTAAGACTTCAAAATATTCTCTTAAAGAATGATACTCTGTTGCATCCCAGTCTTCTCGCCCCCCCCCCCCCCCCCCCCCCAGTGGCTTCCCTATGTTAAACCACCTGGAAAGTGGTGGATTTTTACACCGATGACCGTTTTCCTCAATTGAGTAGGTGTGATCACTGCTGTGATCCCCACGCCATGAATATCCTTTCGAAATCTAGAGTCCTTATATTGCGATCGAAGTTGAATGCTTCAAACTGAATGCAGTTGTGCGCTATATTCGTGAACATTTTCAGTGAGCGACCCAACAGCAGAATTCAATTTTAAATCTTTGAACCTCTGCGTATGGGGAGCAGAGTCCCAGAGCGTTCAATGAGTTCACAAGAAGCCTTGATGAGAAATGGCGATGGAGAAATACACAAATTCCTACTTGTATTAAGGGATCAATCCTAGATCTCGGTCGACTAGCAACTATTTTCAGCTGTGAATTGTAGTACATGACAGTTTCATTAAGAAACAGCACCAGGGGGTCATCAAGTTAGCGTGTGTTCTTTCCATTATAATCCAATAAGATTCACTGACGGACTTCTTTTTCAAATGTGGATTTTTTTATCAATAGGCGAGCTGCCGTGACAATTTGCTTCTGCCTGGCATCAAATGCCCCGTGGTGTTTCCTAAAATTCTCGTATTCGTATGATTTAAGAAGACGATTATTTAAATGTAACAGCACCTCTCACCATCAACATCCGCTATTATGTTATGCTTTCCCTTGCACCTGTTGTTTCTTTTCCAGGTACTGTACCACAAACTATGACGTTCACCTCATGCACATGGTTTTCCAAAATGGTCATCAGATCCCGAATATTGATCTGCTCATATTCATTTGCCTTCAGACAGGACACATACGTATTGACCGACATCTATCTTTAGAGCATCTCGAGGTCTCAATGATGTCCTTACTTTTTAAAAAAAATTCAACGTCTAATATATAACAAACATGGTGGCTGTTTAAAATTTTGAAGTTGCAACTGAATAAAAACAACTGAGAATAGTCGTCCATTCGTCCTTTCTTTATTGAGTCCTGACTTTGGGTCTCGGCTCGCACGTGAATGACCCCTATGCCTTTGTAAGTTTTCTTTTCAGACCATAAAAAATTCGATGGATGCTAAATTGAAACTCTTGGACTCGAGACAACCGAAGTTTGCATTTCAGCCAGTTGCTGCCTGGACTGTGACTAGTCTTTCTATAGCGGCGCCTATTTTGCAAAAGATTTTGCACCTATTATGTAAGATCGGTGACATGAAATCTGCACTTGGTGCCCTTCAGTCTCATTTGGTCTTTTTACGTTGTACAACTGCCAGAATACCATTCAGACATTGTTATAATTTCAATTGCTCAAGGGGGAATTCTTTAATTAGAGGGAAATTACACAGTAAACAAACATCCACCGAAAAGCTCCGACTGAGGGTGTGAGAGAAAATGCATTCTCTTAATATTGGCTTTCCATACTTTTTTTTTTTTTTTACAAGACTCATAACTTTGTTGACATAAAAGAACAGCGTCGAGATACCGTACCGATGATGACGATCTCATTTTCGGGCAAATCCGAAAAATCCACGAGTCACAGCAACTATGGTAAACCGATTTGGTCATTATATAATATATAAGTTTTGCTTTTTCGACAACCGTTAACGCATTTTTAAACAATTTCCTCCTCGAGATCGAATGCCGATTTTTAATATGTCAGTCTACCCAATTTTATCTGCCGAACCATTTATTATTAATAACTTTTATTTTTGTTTCAATTTTTTAAGGGTTTAGATCTATACATTGTACCCGTATCTTGTGGACGCCGCCATCGAATGGGCCCATATAAATTATACATATATTATACATATATATATATAAATTGTCGTGTAGCAAGGCGAGATCGAGAGGCGTTACAGTATCTAGCGTACTCGTGTACATTTCTACTGAAAAACACTATCATAGACTTGCTTTTAATATTAATTATATATTGCCCCCGCAGGCTGTAGGCCTACCTTCTAAAATGCCACTTGGATTCTTGTATTTTGAAACTTACCAGAATACAGAGGTGTTTACAAAAATATTGATCTGTTAAGACAAATTTTTAATTATTACAAGTGATTGAAGTGTAAATTTTCAAAATTGACTTTTTTGCATGTTTTACTTCATTTTGGAAGACACATCTTTCCCGAGCACTTTAATTTGCATTTTATTTGAGTGCAATTCGACCATTCTGTGAAAAATTATCATAGCCTACTTATTGGCATTCTAAAGTGCACAGGGGTCCGAAGGTGAAAGTGTTGAGAAAACGGTTTTAACATTATTTTTTTTTACTTTGGAATAAGTAGATCTCAGTCTATAATGATAGTGCTCAATCACTTGGAAACAAAACAAAAAAACCCCAACTTTATTGCAGTTTAGGCCTACTTACTGTAGGCCTAAACTTGATTTTTTAAAAATCTTTGCATAGCCTAGAGCAAAACGAAGGACTTATATTTAATTAGAAACAATTCACGTTTGGTTTGAATAGCAGGAAATGGAACAGAAGAAGGTGAAACAGCAGTCATGGAAAAACCTTTCCAGAAGTGAAACGAGAAGATGTGCAAGCAGACTGTGATCCAAGACCAACTTATTTTCATGCGTACTGGGTTTTCCCGAAACGGCAATAATGATTCTAGGCGTATAATATTGGGGATTCCCGTAGAAAGAAAGTGTCCATCCAATTGAGTAAAGATTCCTTCTGTTTGTCTGGGGATTCGGCGTGATTTGTCGACAATATATCCTCAAAAATAATTCTCCAAAAATATTTGGAATCATTTCTGAGCAAATTTATTGAAACATATAAATATAATCTCGTTGTCGATTTAAAAAATGAACTTCACGGCCTACTGCATTGGCTCCCTGTAAAAGAACGAATAATATTTAAAATCTGCGTCATGTGTTTCAAATGTGTAAATAAAACTGCTCCTTTTTATCTGCAAGAACTTATCAGTATATATAAACCAGGGAGAAACCTAAGATCATCGAACGATAACACCCTACTTGTGACACCTGTAAAATCATACAAATCATATGGAGAGAGATCTTTCTCATATCTTGGTCCATTTATGTGGAACAGATTACCCATGAAACTAAGACAAATAAGAACACTTGATAGCTTCAAAAGACATCTTAAACATTTTCTGTTCCTACAGGCCTATCCTTCATAAGCTTTTAACGTTAGCTTTCATTATATTTGTTCTTTTCCTATGTCTGGATGAAAATAGTCTCTGTGTGTGTGTGTGTGTGTGTGTGTGTGTGTGTGTGTGTGTGTGTGTGTGTATGTGTGTGTGTGTGTGCATTAATGTATATTGCGTGAGAAGAAAGGAAGTAGTAAGAAAGGTTTTTGAAAAATGGGTATTCCAATGTAAAGCGCATTGAGCTACTTTTTTTTGGAAATGCGCTCTATAAATGTTATATATTATTATTTATTATTATTACTTTCGGCGATAAGCCATATCTAAAAATAGAATTCCGCACCCTCCGCCAATGGGTTTGGCCACCTCTATTCTCACCCGGGGTGAGAATAGTGCAGGCGAGTCTTTTGGCTATTCTCACCCGGTGCGCGTTCACCGTTATAGTTATGAAAGTGGCTATTCTCACCCGCCCGGAAGTTCTCGCAACATCAACTCCTCCCCTCTTCTCTCTCTCTCTGTCTCTTTCTGAATACTGTCTATCGGTGTGGACGATCAAATTGACCAAAACAAAGTTAAAAAATGATGTTAAAACACAAAAGTAAATTAATTTGGTTGTCTACAAAGATGCTACGGTTATTTAACTTTTCGAATCGAGCCGAACTACGCGGGTCGCCATTTTGTTTTGCCCGGAAATTCTCGCACTACTCCACTCTCTCTTTCTCTCTCTCTCTCCACTGCCCACAGACAAAATTGCACGCTTTTAGTAGGCTACAGTTGTAATGGAACGTTTGTTCACGGCACAGAATTCTACAATTTTTCTGTTATCACAGTGTAGAATTCTGTGGTTTAGGGTGAACGCAAAATTTGGTGAACGCGCACCGGGTGAGAATAGCCACAAGACTCGCCTGCACTATTCTTACTCTGGGTGAGAATAGAGGTTTTCTCAGAGCCGCCCACACACAATTGTCAGGTCCTTGGACCAAAGGTGAGATCTTCTTGGCCAGAGAATCTTGGCTTGGACCCAACCCTGTAGATCAACGTTCTCACTACTCTGAGCGTCAAGACCCAACCCAATGCCACCAAGCCAGTGTGAGTCAGCAGTGGACGCCGCCAGACCAGCCACGTCCACTCAGGGAAGTTGACGACAATAACTTGACGACACGACCGGCGTCAGCCGCGTCAGCCATCCATGGCCATGACTCGACGAAATAGCGACATCAATTTTGCCGTTGAAACTGAAAGTGACATTGAACCAGATGAAAACGAATCTGATGATGATGTGAGAAGTAAGCACAGATGACGCGGCAGGTTAGTTACTTTTATAGATCTCCTATAGTCCGATTTTGTTGAGCTTGGGTCTGACTGCAATGAGCAATGTCAAACATGACTCAACATGAGAATCATGTCGTCACCTGCCGTCTCAGGACACGTCTCGGATCCTGCCTTGACTTGACCTTAGACTAGCTTAGGTTTTTAGGCCTACACTACTGACTCTGCTTCCAGGACTGTTACTACATCTAGATCTAGATCCACCTCGTGGGTGCACCACCGGTTTGTATAATCTTGAATCCTGAATCTAGATAGATCTCTAGCATGACTTTTTACACTGTTTGATATTGATGAAGGAAGACTTGAGTTTCAATAATTTGGTAAATATTTGCTTTCACTCCTGCACACAGAAGCACTGCTTTTGGGGTCAAACTGTAGTATTATTTGCTGCAGAACAATCATTAACCCTCCTGCGGGAGCCAGGTTTATGTAGCAATGCAAATATTGGGCTTCCGCGGGCGTCGACAAATTTTGGTCCTAGTTTTGCGGGTGTATTTTTGGACTGGATCGGGACGTAGGTGACTAACTTTCTCAAACTCGGTCTGCTCTATTTCTGGACCAATATGATTGAATGAAACTTGGCAACCATTCAGAAAATAGGACAAATTTAACTATGATATGTGGAAGTTTGTACACATAAATTAACCTATATATTTTTGTTGTCAGAAACACTTTCATATATCGGGTGTATACCGAAAACTATAAGGATCTTGATTTTCAACGTTGAGAAGGTAAGAGATCTATCTTGCCTCTATAGCATCCTCAAATTTAAATGTTCTGTGTCAAGTAATTGTTTAGAATTTATCATAAATGCACCAATACCCCCCTGCCCAAAGCGGCTGGCTCGGAGACTGGCTGTTTTCCCCTCATTCCATCAGCAAATGTGTGTGATCTACAAATTTCCGCATGATTATTCCAAGCTCGTTCACTGTTCACTTGAAATAGGGCAATGGCAGGCGTGCGCATCCAGTTGTTTTTCTCTCTGTTCCTCTGTAACACAATGGGGGGTGTATTCTGAGGCGAGCTCATGTCGCCTCAGGGTGTTCGTGTCTCAACTGGAAAAAGGGCTTTTTGTTGTAGGCATGCTAGATTGAATTGAATTATATATTTATATATTATATATGTGAGTCAGCATGGTGCAACCAGGCGCTCATCAAAATAATGAAATCGGAGAAACAGGCATTTTCCGCCAGTTTGAAATTTTCTATCAAATTTTTATTTTTTGACTTAACCTCTTGTATGCCCATATAAAAACACATTTCCTTGTGAATTTTACTGAAAAACATTGATTAAAGGCACAAGATATGTCATTTTTCCGTTTTCAAAGACTTGGCGGCCGTTTTCTCAGTAATTTCATTACTGAATTCAGGCGACCTGACTTCCTTCAATCCCAAATATCTTGAGTTCTATTCAAGATAAATGGATATTTATTTCATCTTAAGCAAGGCAAATAAATCAGCTTTCAGATGATACCAATAACTCCAAATGCCCAAAAATTCTCCACATGCCCAAAAATTGACAAGCGCCTGATTCCACCGCGTCGTGACACATCTTTTCTAATTCTGTCTGATTCTCTTTGCATTGCCTCACTAACTTCACCAATACAGTAGAGTCCATTTATAACGAGTCCTGAAATAACGAGAAGTCTGTTATGAAAAACTTTATTCTAAAACCCCGGGGGTTTTTTTCTCTTTTATCTTTGTAAATAAAATACTGCTATAGCGCAATCAGATAAATGCGGGAGTCGGTTATAGCGGAATATTGCTGCTGCTGTGCACAGCGCATATGCCATTTATACATGAAAACCAGGCAAGTTGAGAAACTTGTTGGTGATCAAGCGAAACAAAGAATGGGAGAGCCCATGGGTACCAACGATGAAGGCCGGAGTGAATGAGTGGGGAGGGTGTGGTACGCGCAGACAAGCCGTTGGGAAGCAGAACGCATTGCCTGATAGTGATAGGCCAGCCTAGTCTAGATTATCTAGGCCTATCATGCCCTTCACTTCTCCGATGCGGGGATGGAGAGGTCACAGTGCTGTGGTGGATCATGAAGCGAATGTGTGACGTACGCAAGCAGACGCGGGAACGCACAACAGGGTGTGGTCGGGTGGGGGAAAACACAGCGGGCGAGTTAGCCAGAACTGTCGTTGTTATAGCCAACGCCAAGCTGTCAACATCGCTAACGCTAGAGAAAGAAACCTGATTCAATTTTTGATCAAGTAAGACCAAGAGGTCATCTTGAACAAAGCCATCATTAGAGGAGATAACAAAAAAACCCCAAAAAAACAGAACACCATACTCATAGATTAGGCCCATTTTATTATTTCCTTTGAATTTATTACTGGATCCATCACAACGAGAATCCTGCTCTAACGGATATTTCGTACCGGTCCCCTCCCTCTCGTTATAACAGGATTCCATTGTAACACACTCTTAACACTTAAAGTACCGTCAGCAACTTTAGTCTCAGATGCAGCCAGGCACACAAAACATAATTAATCAATGGATGAATGCACTGCACTGAAGTAAATACCAAATGAAGTCACTCTATATGATAGCTGAATGGTTGATGAACTTCTATTGAATTTTAAAACCTGTTTCTTATGCTGCCAAGAATTTTTAAAGTAAAAAAAATCTACCACGACTTCAGCGTTCTTAACTGGTGCAGTACTTTAGGGTTTTTCATTATATGAGCCTTCGGTACTGTAAGTGTTAAACCCTACAATAATTAATTTAAAACTGAGAATTCATTCCTTGACTGAACAGAAGATACATACTGTTTGCAAGAAAACAGGTTGATTTTAAAAGTCCTCATGCAAACACCCCACCATTTGACGTTTGGAAAAAGCCCTTTTTATAATCTGTGTAATGACCAATGTTTATTTTATATTTCATTTCATGTTGTTTTATCTTTCTCAGCTGGCTTATTTGTTGTAAAGCCCTCTAGGTACAAGGGTGTCTGATAATTTTGCGCAACAGTATAACAAGTAAAAGACAAATTTTCAGTCTAGCACGCACATAGAGAACATGCATAGAGAGCAAATAGATTTTCATATCCCAAATTTTTGTGAAATACATGTATGTCCTTTGTATTTAAAACACATGTTTTTTTTTTACTATAGTATTAACATAAACTTTTCAAATTTTATATTGAGGCATTGTGGTGAAATCAGGCTCTTGTCCAAATAACGAAATCAAAGAAATCAGCAATTTTATGGCCATTGGACAATTTTTTTTCTAAATGTATAGTTTTTTAGTCATCACATTCTATGTCTATTTAAAAACATATTCCTCTGCGTACTTTACTGAAAAACGTTGATCGGAGACACAACAATGTAAATTTGCAGTTTCCAAGAACACTATACATTTGGAGGTCACCCAACTTTGACAGTCATTTTCTTGCTAATTTTACCTCTGATGCTAGGTGACCCCCATTTCCTTCAATCGTGAATATTTTTACTTCAATTCAAGGTCGATGGGCAATTCTTCCGCCAAAACCAAGAACAATGAACAAGTTTTAAGATGATACCAATAAGTCCATATATGTCAAAAATTGACAAGCACCTGATTTCACCTCTTTGTGACTCATATTAATGAACCACATGTCATAGAATTTACATCACCATATTTTTTCCCCACAGATTCCGGATGCGCTCCAGATGACAAAAGAGAAAAAGGTTCATATGAATCATGGTAGGCTTGTAAAGCCCTGCTACCAAAATGCTCGTCAGGGAGCTTGAAGATACAATAGCTATCATTGTCTCTGCTAGAAACTTTATCTCTGCTCAGGCACTCAACCACCACCTCTTCCAGCAGGCCGTCCGTGAAGAATGATGCTGCGTACAGCCATTTCTATATGCCTCATCGTGTCTACCAGCTGCATTAGGGGATAACAATTTCCTGAGTGAAAAAGACAATTGCTTGGCAGACTACTTCAGCTACTCTTGTCTTCATTGCCTGGCTTGCGTACATCAGTGACATTTTCAGGCACCTGCCGTAATGCTCTCAGCATGTCACTTTAAACGAGAAGCCTAACAATCATTGTAGCGGAGCAGATCAACTTGCTTCACCACTTACATCAAGTAGTGTGGCTTTGGAGCAACAGCATTGAGAAGTTTCATGATTCTAATTGAAGACATCGGCAACTGCAACATGCTCTAAGATGACCCGATTGAGGTGAAGGCTTCTACACCACTAAAGATGCGGTTCTCTACCATCAATAATCCTTGCTTTACTTTGTGGTGAAAACGGTGGTCCAGATGACACAAACTGCCTCTGCAAACATGGTTCCCTGTCTTGGTTGTCATTAAAACAAAGCTGCAGGCTCGTCTTGACGTCGGACCCATCATGAGGTTGGCCTCATCCAAGACTGCTTGGAGGATCAGATACCTCTTATTATAGGAAAAACAAGAACATTCGTTTGACTGTATGAAATAGATGATGAATGCTTGATATAATTTGTGATCTTTTCTTGAAGTTTTGGTAAAACTGCATTTTTTCACAAGGTCAAATTTCTCATACTCTGAATTTAAGTTCTCTTCAGATTCTCATCTCAGTATTTCTTTCATTAAGGCATGACTACTGTAAGTCTCTTCTTGCCAATTTAAGTTTGGAAATGATTAACAGACTGCAGCGGTTCCAAGATGGAGCTGCTCGATTGATCTTTAGCAAAATCCAAAACGGAAACAAGATTCCTTTATTAATAAAGTTAACATCTTTTCAGGTGGAGCAAAAAAACAACAACTGATTAATGTAGGTATGTATGAATGATCAACACACTGGAAACGATCAAGCCCTAAAAGCGTATTATATGACTCACGATTTAGGAACTCTTGGCTTTACTGTCGATTCCGTAGTAATTCTTGTTGTGTCATTCAAGTTGTAACAGTAATCCATTCCGCACATCTTAAGATGAGCTAATTTGGAAGCAAACAGCTATGATACATTTAAGTGAAACATTAATTTGCTTTTTATAGCGATTTTAAGGCGGGGAACTCCACGAAACTTAATCAGAAATGAAGCCCATGATATTGATGAAAAAAAATGTTCGCGCCACTATCATGATACGAGGATCTGGCTCTTATAGGACGATAATGCGGATGAGAATCTCATGAGAGTGCCCACAGTAACGTCTTTCTTCCCATGCCCCAAGAACTTTGAATTTCTTCCTGAAAGAAATGTCTATCATATCAAAGAGAATATTTAAGAAAAGTCTAAAGACACATTTTTTTTTCAACACTATCCTCTGTCAGTAAATATTGTATGTGAGAATGTGTGCGGGTCAGGAAGTTGTTTGTATTGTTGTTGTTTAATGGTTTAACAATGTGCATACTATAAACTTTTATCTTTTACAAAGCACAGATGATATAGATTATAGTATAATTCGGGCTCAGATTGTGTCTCTAAAGGGGGGGGGGGATAAAGTTAGGAAAACTCTGCCATACAGTACCTTAGCGATAATTTAGTTGCTGTAGAAAGAATGGCCAGTTCATTTTGAACTTGGACTGTTGACTTGAGACGCAGTATAGTAATTTGGTACACAAAAATTATTTTTTTTCGAGTATAAATGAATGCTTAAGGAATCACAGAATTTAGTGACTGAGAGAAAAGATAAAAAAACAATAATGTTTTATGGAATGAAAACTAGCTTTTAAATATCAACAAATTATTGGTCATATTATTACTAAAATCCAAAGCTTTTAGCCTCATTGTTATGGAAACACCAACCTCTACCCCAGAAGCTGTGTGCATCATAGTATCATTTTCTAAAATCCATTTTAGGAACATTTATAAAAATTTTATACCGATGAATGAACGTCGTTTTCCTTGACAGAGAACTAAAATATGTGGTTACATTATAACAGAAAAGGGAAGTCGTAGGATCATTTAAAATAACCCAAAAAGTTAGTCATCTCATTATAAGAAATAACTGTATCGGGGGAGTACATAGTATAGCTTTTTGTGTGTGTGTGTGCACTGTTTATTTGTAAGAGTCCACGGATGAGCTGTCGCATTGGTTAGTATGCTGTATGTTTTTATGAAAAGACTGAAGGGACACAGCTGCCAATCCACTGGAGAGATGTAGACAGGCCCATCCTTCTAAGCCTGAGGTTTTTGTGTCTCTGATGATGATGCACGGTTGGTGTCTTTGCTCTCACCACTTTTCTTGCAACAGACTTGAAAATAGCTTGTCAGCAGTTTATCTACCAGCTTTGATATTGCACTGTACTTCTGGGTCTATGCTTTCAGAGAGTGCCTGCTATCTGTTTAGCACTGCTAGGACAAAGGCTGTTTCAGTAATTGAGTAGGGAGATTTCGCAGTAGTTTGTTGCAGTCACTCTGATCACCTTTGTTCTTATAAATGTATCTTGGACTTCAGAGCGGATGGCTCTGGTTTGCATTCCCAACTGGCCGTTCTTAACTCCTTGGTTGCATTTGGGAGATTTTATGGCTCTCCACCATTTTGGCTCAGTGCTATCACTATCGCATATATGAACGATAAATATCAAGGTCCCACCTCTTAAATAACCATAGTGTTGAAGGGGGCGTTTTACCCATACATTGACCAATGCAGAAGATGCTCTAAATCTGATTCTCTTGTTCACTTTAGTGGAGAAGCTGTTGTGCAGAGGTCTTGAAACATGTTCTCTAGGCCAGTACTGTCCCCGTAATTTTAAGCTCCCCTCATAATTTAGCAAAATTTGATAATTTTTTGCATAATTTCTGATTATTTTCCTTTATCATTTTTTGTTAAAGTTAACAGAATC